ACTCCAGATTCAGTCAGTTGACTTGCCAAGAACGCTCTCCAATGTGATTTAAAAACATACAGGTATGTATAAGGCTAAAATCATAACCATTCACCTTGGAATGAAGTCTGATACCTAGTTCATCTCTTCTCCATCTGGACATTGTCCAGTGGTAGGTGAGGAAAGGTTCCCATCAAGAAGTACCAAGTTCTGCTAGGAAAGGAGACTGCAGAAAACAATACATTTCAAAGACATTATTTTTCCCCTCATCCTTTCTCTTGGTCCTGTTGGCAGGACTTGCCACTATCCCTAATGCAGGGCAAGCTTAGTAAAGTCGTGAGCAATTTGCTTCAGCTTAGAAGAGCCTGGAAGCGGTGGTTTCAGTGAGCCCAGTTGCACAAGTGGCAGGAGGAAGGTGCTGGGACACACGAGGTGCAGAAGCAGCCGAGATTGATTTGGGTGACTTCCTTCTGCCTCTGCATTGTTGTCTGCTGGGTTAACATCCCTTTCCATACTGGAGCAATTAAGGTATGTGTATAATGTTTGTGTAACGTTTCATCCCCCGTGGTTGTACTTTGCTTTCATGAGGTGTCTCATTCCCTTTTTCATAAGCACTTACTGAAGGAGTGTTTCTCTTGGCAGCTTTTTCTCCTCCATCCTCTTGAGCTTAACCCTACAGCTCTTGCTTTAGAGGGTGAGTGGAAAGCAGCTGGAACAGAAGCATATGCTTCCTCCCCGTAATGACTGCATTGAAGACAGAGGCTGTGGGATCACAGCAGCACCTAGAGCGGGTTTTGCTGTTCTTGTGTCAAATATTGCAGCTATATGAGGCAGCACTGACCCAGTGTGAACTTTAGCAGTTTAACATGATATTGGTCGGCTTTCTGCTGGATCAGATGTCTTCCTTGGCCAGGGCAACTGAGCAGAGACAGTGGTGTAGCTGCAGCTGATCTGAGTGAAACCTGTGCTCCCAAACCTGTGCATTGTCACCGAATGTTAAAAATTGTGGAGCTGTGAGTTGGGAATGACACACAGTGACAAGGGGACCTGTGTCCCTCCTGGTGCTCCAGTTCTGCACTGCAGAATCCTCTAGCCCGGTTGAATTGGCAGGATCTTCTGCAGGCTGGTAGGGGAGCCTGTCCCAAACGCGTGGCCGTTTTGGAACCTGAGGCACTGGGGCTTTGTCTGGGGTGTGCTTGGCCTCGAAGTCTGCTCTGTGCTTCCCAAGTTCAGCTTGTTCCCCAGCCTGTGTTCCGGCCTGTCCTGAGCTAAGGACAGGGCTCCGTTACGTCGTGTGACGGCCCTGCTGACCTGCAGGGAACCACGGCAGCAGCAACATCCTCCTCGCAGTCTGCCGGCAGAAACCTCCTCCCTCTGTTACCCCTAAAATACCAGGGGCCGTCTGGGAATTGGGGAGGGGAGGCAGCTCGTGGGGTCCCTTCCCCTTGGACGGCGGGAAGCAGAGCCTGCGTGGAGGCCGTTTGTGGCTCGTGGTGACGTTACAGGCAGACCCGAGCTGCCGGGCTCTGAAATTAAGCCCTGCTTTTAGGCACGCGGATAGCGGCCAGGGATTGACGCGCTGCCGAGTCCTCCCGCTCCGTTTTTGTCGTGGCGTGTGCGGAGCGGAGCTGGTCGCTGCTGTCGCCGCCTCAGCGACGTCTCCGTTGTCCCAAACGGCTTCAGAACCCACTGCTACTTGTTTACCTGCTGCAGCACTGGCTGCCGGTGGCTGTTTGGAGTCGCCAAATGAACTGTTCTCTTTTGAAGGTGGCCCTTGGAGTCCACAAGCTTTAGGGGGCTGAGGGGTTAAACCCAGAATTACAGGGCATGTTTTTGTCCCCAGCCCAGGTTGTCTCCCCATAGCTACTGCTAAAGCTGAGATGAGGTTTAATGCTCTAGGTGTCCCTCCCAACCTCTGCAAAAATATATATATATATTTCAGGAAATTACATATCTGCCAGAGCAAATGAGACAAATGATTGGAAGCCATTGAGCTGCTAATGAGCTGATGCTCATCAGCTGAGCTGGAATCAAGGTCCTCTCTCTTAGTCAACCCAATTTCAGGTGTGTTGGCTACTTGATTTCTCATTTGAGGTAAGGTGACTCAGCTGCTAAAGGGGACTGTGGCCCTGATGATGCTCTGTCATCTTCCTGTTGTGTGCTGTGAGAACATGATCACAAATATCGCGAATGTTTTTGTGTTGAAGCTGATGCCTTTTGAGTGGTAGATCTGCTGGGGAGCTCACACGATGCTGGTTGAGTGACGAACACCAGGGCAAAGCACCTGAATAGCAGAGGGAAGAGCTGGAGATGCCAGAACGGTTCTGCCTCACTGTCCTGCTCCTTTCCATGGTGTTGGCACATTCACCACCGATGGGTGTTTAGTCATCCCTGCTTGCCCGGGTGAGGTGCCTGTGCAGCGATGGGTGTCTCTGCTTTATGGATATAAATAAGCATGGCTTTGTAGGAGACAAAGCAGCACGCAACCGGTCTTCTATTTAGGATACCTGGAAGGATGCTGTGCAGCTGGCACGTAGGAGAGCAGGACTAGCTAGGAGCCTCCCTAGGGAACTCAAGATTTCTGATTCTTGGGGCTCAACCAACATACGTGACCCTTCAACATAAACCCCCAGTCATGTTTAATATTAATTTTCATAGAAATAAATATAGCAACAAAGCTCTACCCCCTTCCTTTAAAAGTGTTTTTCCACTCTTGAGTGCCTCCCTAGGTATGATATAGGAGAAGAAAGACTCTGCCATCACGTAGCCAGAGCAGCCGTTTCGCTGTTCCCTGGTTCCTTCTGAGTTTGGACTGACAACAGAGCCGCTAATTTATTGTTGGTGCTGATATTCTGCCTACTCCTTGGCTTGTGCTAGCCACTGAGGCAGGTGGATCTGACACAGGAAGCCCGAAATAGTGGTGCTGCCTTTAGAAATCAAGAGGAAAAACAAATGGAATGTGGCTGCTCTGCAGGCATGTGTGGTTGTGACTGGCTGGGAAGACCATTCACCGCTTCTGCAATTCGCCAATACTGAATAATACTCAAATATTGCTGCTGCCAGGTAATGTGCAATAGTCCTGTCAGTTTGGGTTCTTCAGGTACTGTGCTTAACGCACAACAAAGCAGTTGAGCTTAGTGATATGTTGAAACATGCTGTGCCCATTTAAACACCAAATATCAGTCATTATGTTGCTTAAATTCACATTGAAATGAAAGTAGCGTTGGACACTTGGAGCTCTGGAGGAAGAGAGCTGTTTAGTCGGAATATCCGAGTGCTGCCGGAGCACTCACTGCAGTGAATGTTGCTGCTTGGTTTGGGTGTCAAGAGGCTATCGCGTGGAGTGCTTATTTTAATGAATAATTTTAGAAAGCTTGATTAAAAAGTGGTCTCAACTCGTGTGGGAGGCAATAAAAACACTGACAATCTGGGAACAGCCTGAAGGAGGCTCCAGGTTTCCCACTCTGCTGGAATTTGGGCTCCAAAAGGGAAGCGTTAAAAGCCCATCTGGCTCCGTCCCTGTCTCTCTTACCAAAACACGCAATCCAGAAGGCAATAAATACTCAGGTATTTCGGTTTGATTCCGGATCCCATCCTTCGATGATGGATTTGTGACTAACTCAGCAGCCCAGGCTGTAAGCCTGGGCATGGCTTGGTGCAAAATGCTGACAAAGCACAGTCAATTTTGGGCAGGGAATCGAGGAAAACTGACAGATACGGCAGTAACAGAGCTTCATTCTGCAAGTCAGACATGAAAGAGCAGCTCTGCCCCAGTTACTCCACTCTTACAGCGCTTCTGCAGCGGGTGGGATTTTCAGAGCTCAGTGTTGCACCACTGCAGATATATTGTACCTGGCTGCTGAAATGTAGATCAGAGCCGCCCTGCGCAGCACAAGTGGGAGCTTTGAGCCTTGCTGTAAGGCCGAGCGAGCCCCGGGCTCGAGCTGCGCGTTGTGGCCTCCCCCTCGGTGCGCTTGGAGCAGTAGCCGCCCTGCGGCGTCTGGGTATCGCGTGAGACGGCAAAGCGCGTCCTGCAGCGCGGGGCTTATCGCTAGCACTTAATAAAATAGCCTGTGAAGGGTGTTCAGCTCAGTGAAACAGCTCCGTGAACGGCGAGTCCTGGGAGGATGTTGCCTGGTTAAGTGGGCAGTAATCGCTGCAGCTTCATCAAGCAGCAGCTCCCCTTAATCCTTAGGAGTCCTAAGCCCCACGGCTCCATGCAGCTGGAATGTGAGCAGTGTCACTTCAGCCATGCCCTTTCTGATGGCTTTTGCTGCCTGCGTGGACCTGGGGGCTCCTGCGTGCAGCAAGAGCCATAATCAGAGTCTCGGTGTCTGTGTGAAACTCGGAGCTGTTTCTGATTTACAGCTACATATTTATTTCCTTGCTTTCTTTTAGGCAAGTGCTTCCTGCAGTGAATTGGATGTCGAAGCCAACTCCCTGACTAAGACTTCTTACTGTACAAAATCTTGCTTAAAATCTTGCAGGGCAAACTGTGTCTCACCAGATTTTTGGGCTGTCTTCTGCAGGAAACATGCAGGCTCAGATACAGAGCGGTGGTTGATGCGCTTCTCCCTGCGCCTTCCACCTTCTCCAGTGCCCAGGCTGGATGTGGGTGCGCAGGGATATGCGATGCACAGGGAGGGAGGGAAAAGGGGGACTCGGTACCAAAGAGCCATGAGCGACTCTAACGGTTGATGCATCTCCTGACTCAAAGCACGGTCACAAGCGGCTTGCTTAATTGCTGTGTTTCGAATCTGTAAATTGGGATTCTGCAAATGCGCCAAGGGGGTTAACTCTGTGCAAGGAAGTACTTCAGCATCCGCTGCTAAAAATCTCTTCAGTCCTGGGGGGTGAAATGCTGTGCATTTCTTATCATGTTATTTCTAAGTGTCATCTGGGGTCACTAAATCTACTCTCTCTCTTCTCCTCCAGCTGAAGCTTGAAGATCGCTCTGTAGTCCCTCGAGATGTGGTCAGACACATGAGTTCCAGTGTAAGTGCTTTTTTTCTTTCTTTTTCCTGTATCCCTTTTTGATTATGATACTGCTCTATGGATTTCTAAGACCTGCCAAATTGCCCGGAATGGAGCTGAACAGTAATACTTGGAGCATGTTCTATTTTTGGCATGTTTAATTGATCTAGCTGCATCCTTTGAAAATAAAATGCTGATAAGACTGCCTTGCTGCTGCAGCATATCCACAAGATAGAAAGGTCTCCTGAGCAAACAAGCTTGGTAACGCCAGGTAATGAGACAAGTTTTCCCATCCGTCTGTCATCCCTGAAGCCTTAAGCCAATCCAAGCTGTAGGGAGCACGGACCTGCTCCCTCTGCCCTGTGTGGAGGCAGTTCCCTTGGCTGTCACCATGTGTCTTTGGGCACTGTTGCTTGGAGGAAGCACCTTCAGGGAGGCCTCAATGCCCCACGAGCACCATCGTAATCAGCTTCTCCCTAGAGAGGTGCAGCAGATCCCAGCACTACTGAGGCCAGAGATGCTAAAGCAACCGACACAGCTAGGTCAGCAGAAAGCAGAGAGTCTTAACCAGCAGTCTATAATCATTCCAGTTTCTCTCTCCAGTTACTATTTCAAGTCTCAGTCCTCCCCTTCTGGCTTCGCAGCATATGCTCCTTATTGGAAATGTGCGGATTTGATTTTTGTGAAGGGAATACAGAGAACATTATCGGGATTGGTTATGAAGTGAGACCCGAGCTCTTTAGGAGCTGAGCTCGTCTGGCAATTTCTTGCTGCTGCTGCCACCTAACCTATAGCCTGGAGCCATATGGGCTGCCGTGTGCGCGCCCGCATCTTCTCTTGACTGGTTTCCAGCAGCAGCGTCGCTCCTGGGGCGGCGAGGAAGGGCTGGTGATGCAGCAGCAGCTGCACCACATGGCCTGCAGCCTTCTCTGCCCAGGGCGCTTTTCAAATAAAACCAGTTTTGCACAAAAAAAAGAAACCCCACCCCCACCCCCCCCATGCCCTGCCTTTTTCACAGAGTCTTCTGAACAAAAGAAACAGGAGGAAAATTTGAAGGGTAATTCAAGAAATGCTGAAACAAAGTATTTCTTTAATGAGCTTAATTCCTGTGTTTGAAGTGTAAATTCAGAGTCAGTGCTTTTTACCAAAACAGCAGCTTTATGAATGTGTTTGAATCCAAAGCAAAGAGCTGCTAGCAAAATGGAATATCAGCTGTTAGCGCGGTTGTACCTGGCACAGCTGGATACCAACAGATTCTCCTTGCTCAGAGGGATGCTTTCTGATGAGTCCTGCCTCTTAATTGTTTATTCAGTGATGCTTTTTATTGTCCTGAAAGCTTAAAATGACTTTGAGTTATTCTCCTCTTGGCAAACGTGGATAGGCTGCTTTTGTCTGCAATTTCCATACTTGTCTGAACAGGAATTCTTACAGGTGCTGCCAGCCTAAAATCAGGAGATGTCTTTCTATGTACCAGCAGCTATTTTGAATATCCGTTTGCTGCCTGTTTGTATTTAAGCACTGGCATTTGCTTGACCACTGTAGTAGTGGCTGATAATTTTTACTGATGGAACAGTGAGTTCAAAAACATAGGAAAAATGAAGCATGCTTACACCTTACCTGCATGTACATTTTAAATGAGACTCTAAGCTCTTATCCCAAAGAAAGCTCGCTTGTTAACTAGAAGTAATCCAAAAATTACCGAAGCGTTTAAAATAGGAAATGTGCACAGACCGTCTGCCAGACCAGAATGTGGATGGCTGCCCTGCACCAGTTGGCCTGGCAAACGCACAATGTGGGACTTGCTCTGTATTCACCACACTCACTCAGGGCTTGTTTTTAACCTTGAGACTCGAAATCTTCAGTTCCTCAGGAGAACTGAGTTAAATTCATGTGTTTCTTATCTGGCATTGATCGGAGGGAGACAGGTTTAGTGCTACTGTGGGCAATGCATGAAACAAGGTTCTTTATTTCTGCCTGCTGTTGGACCAGAAGTCAGTTCCAGCTGCGTGAGGAATTTTGGAGGGAGCAGACATCACTTTACAGGTGGTTTGTTGGCTTGCAGAGTGGATTAGAAGCAGGTCTGTCATCTGTCAGGCACCTGCTTCCTGCCCCTTCAAGGGATAGTGGGCAGGGTTGCCCCCTTTAAATATAAGAATAAGAGGATGACATGAAGATTTCTTAAAAAATAGAGCCTTGAAGGAGGAGAGAGAAGGGCAGGAAGTAGAAGACAGAGTTGAAGGCTGCACTTGCTGCTGCTGTTCTCTGAGGTGGAATTTGCTGGTGTCCCTTAAAGCCTTGTGTGTGATGGGGGAGGAAATTGCCTATCTGCTCCTTCAATGCATCACACCGGAGAAGGTAGGTGCTGTGTAGATACCAGCAACAGGGAGAGAGTCTAGGGAGCACACTGAATTTTGGTGTGAATTGGGCTTGAATCACGCAGCCCTTCTAATGAGCATGCTGTTCCTGCAAAGAGCAGCCACCTCCCTTGTTTCGTAGGGCTGCTGCTGGGATTGAGAGCAACAGATGGATTTTTTTTATAAAGAGATGTGACATATGAGCAGGTTTCACTTGATCCTCCTTTATTTGGAGCATCTAATAGGTTTTGTGTGAGCTGGGGGAGAGCAGGGCTCTGGCCAAAGAGCGCGGGCCGCGTTGGGACTGCGGCGCGGAGCCTCTCGTCTCGCAGCGTGATGCAGCAGAACGCCTCAGCCTGCAAACCTGCCCGCCCTGGCACGGGCTGCTTATCTGGCAGCCAAATAACCTCATCATAACCAAAGGTTCAGTGGCAGGTGAGAGAAGAGCCGTGATTCAGCAGCTTTTCCTTCGCTTCCTTTGCGTAGTGATCACAACACAGCTCATCTCTCAACTTTGGAGCAAGTGGGAGGAGGTACAGGCTGAACCTAAACCCTGCCTATGACTAGGTAAAACCCAGCTGGATAAAATGGACCTGTTGGGGTACTGGATGCTGAGGTGCTGGCATGGTTCTAGTGTGGTCTCTGGAGGAACCCTTCTTATTCCATCCACAGCTGTTCCCAGTGGGATTCTGTAGAAGGAAGGAGAAACTGATGCTCTTTACCACCATTTTCCATAATCTCTTGACAACAGTACAGCTTTTCCATTGGGCATGGCAAGGCTGCTTTGCTGTTAACTCTGGTGCCCCTTGGGACTCCAGCAAAGCAGTGCTGTCCTCGCCGAGCTAGAAGAGCCACAGGAACCAAAGGCGTTGGACTATATCATGTCCCAGAGCTGCTACCGCACTGGGTGCTGCTAAAGGAAGAGGAATTTCTGAAGTGCTTAGTGTGGAGTGAGGGATTTGTTTCTTGTGGAATTTTTGGTCTCCAGTCGCTAAACAGAATCCAGAACATAGGGTTGAAACTGAAAAGTTTGGACAGAAGGTGTTTTTGGAGGAAGAGCAGGGGGAATGGCGAAGCGTT